CATGCTCCTGATGATATGAACACTATCATACTGGCAACAGCTGTTGGAATAACAGAAATATACGTGACACACAGATGTACATGGCTTGCACATTTCACAAACTTGTACTGCTTCTTATCATCTGGTATAACCAGGCTATGCATACTGGTACTTATCTTTAGTCGTATTTTAAGAGTGAGTGAGTGAGTGAGTGCTTTTAGCAACATTCCAGCAATATCACGGTGGAGGACACCAGAAATGGGTTTCACACATTGTACCCATGTGGGGAATCGAACCCGGGCCTTCGGCGTGACGAGCGAACGCTTAACCACTAGGCTACCCCACCGCCCCTCGTATTTTAAGACTGGACAGCTCCACGCTGTCACTGTTTCAACAGTTTCATTTGGCTTAAGAACCTTTTCATATGCAGCAGCTTCTCTCTGGAACTCTCTCCCTATCGAGTTAAAATCATCTCCTTCCCTAAGTACATTCAAAACACGACTAAAGACTCATCTATTTCTCCACTACAAGTGACTTCCAATCATCCGTACCTGCCAGCTTTATATAGTTTTAACTTGAGGTCAGGAAGCGCTTTGAGCATATCCCTGCGACATGGAAAGGCGCTATATAAATGGCCTATTATTATTATTATTAATACATGTATATATCATACACCAGTATTGACATTAAACATTATCTCAGTGTGCTGTAAAGATTTACCGTTAGATGATGTACATGAAAACTGTAAGGTTTTACACCACTTTTAGCAATATTCTTGTCCACGTGATCGCATGAATTAAGAAAATGTTGATTAAGTCGAACATGAATCATACATGCTATATGTTTGAAGTATTTCATTCTGTGTATCTTGTACAAGAGAAATATATTATGGAACTTCACTAAGTCTGATAACAGTTTTGAATACACATTGCCATTTAGAAAGTGGTCAAAAGAAACATGTTATATTTGGGATTACACTTTCTTAGATTAGAATGTGTACTTTACTGAGAAAGTGTTATCTGAATTTAACAAATGATAACAGTTTACTTTCATTACCGGGTTGTATCGAGGATAGCAAAAAAGAGAATAAGGAAATGTTACATAATTATACTACTGCTCTGAATGGGATATTTTTATCCTTCCCTTACACACCAAACTGATTCCCATAACATGTCATGTGTATATTTTAATATTCAAAACGTATCTGATTATCCAATAAAAACGTGTTGTAGTGTATTAGACAGCAAAACTATTTCACAGCTTATGGATTGATAATAGAAATAGAAAGGGTGAAAATAAAATAAAATACATTTTTAATAACTACTGAGAGATTTCAAAGAAGCAACTTTGGTTTTAAGAACTCAAATGATGTCTAAATGCAAACTATTGCACAGAAAAGCAATCCTACTGCACCTTGAATCTTTAGTTATCAATACTCAAATAGGCTAATAATCAAATAATTTCTTTTTTTCATCAGAAACTACATGAAACTAACTCAGAGAAAGATCACTACAATAAAACATCATTCCGTTGATTATAACTGTTTTAATTCCTTGTTTCTTCAGTCAGTAGTGAGATGAAAGAGAGAGGCCGCTTTTAGCAGTACTCAAGCAATATCACGCCGGGGGACACCAGAAATGAGCTTCACACATTATACCCATTAAGGGAATTGAACCCCGTTCTTCTGCATGACAAGCAATTGCTTTAAAACTCAGGTACCCCACTGCCTATCTTCAGCCACTAGATATCATCCATAAAAATATGGGTTTTTTTACAGACTTTTCCTCACAGATAACTGATATCTTCTCCACGCAACATATTTCATGAACACAACTTTTCTTTGAGCATTTTCCTGTTCTCTGTGTAATTCACATTCATGAGACTTCTTACTTCCAATAAATGCCAAGCAAGTACGGCCATTTGTTGTAGGAATTTAGATGTTAGAAACACAAATATATTGCTAGACCTGACATTAATTTCCTACAAATCTATTCTAACAAAATCAGAACAAAACTAATATTGGTCTGGCCTTAACAGGAACAAAACAAAACATCTATAAACTAAAAATAAAAATATTAAAGCTGTTCAAATTTGAGTTTCAAAAATGCAAACACACATAATAACTAGTACCTAGAAAGAACTGACGTCTTAAGCAACAAACACAAAACTTTAGGACAGTTTAGAATAAATAAACCAAACAAAAATTATGCAATGATGTAATGGAAATTAATGTTTCAATTCTCTTTGAAACACAGAAAACAAAAGGCTAATTAAGGACATAAAGATAAACATGATTGCCGAGAAATAACATTCTGCATTTCTACTAAAGTCCTTTGAGCAACATGTATGAGAGACTTCAATCAAAAACAAGGTCAGTATCATGAAAGCCATTGATTTTGTAACTTTAATCAAAATATTACTAAGTAATCTGAAACAGTGAGATACAAAGTCTGCTCAAACCAATAGAGTACAATTATTCCCTGAAGAAATTAAACCAAGGGATGGAACCAATTTTAACTTTATCTATTAACAATCCAAGTAATATCTTCTATTAATGAAGAGTCTACAGAGATACTTATTGTAGCAAAGCTTTAGTTGCTATTCAACTGGGCTTGAAAAACATGATAATGTATCAGTAATACATGCTCATCATGGTGAAGAATACTCATCACAATTAAAAACACTCATCAAAGTGTAAAAATACCATCCTTAACAACACAATATTTCGCCGACTTGCAAAGAATGCTAAAGTGTCTTCACCCATACATTTTTAGAAACTGTCACCAAAGTTATTCAAATACACAATTCTACAATATATTTCAGATATGTTTTGTATATACTTTTGGGGTAAAAATTATTAAACATGATTTTAAGTTACAGTTATCATGTGAGTGCAACAAATATATAGTGTTTTCCTATTGAGTGCAAAGACAGCTTTGAACAAGTCTCATATAGGCATTACAACTTTCACCCTGTCATTTGAAATAACCTGTGGTTTCTTCAAACTGGGGCAATCTGTGTGCATCACAAGATCAAACCAGACTTGGAGTGAGTGAGTGAGTAAGTGAGTGAGTTTAGTTTTTAATGCCGATTTTAGTAATATTCCTGCAATATCCTGGCAGAGGAAAATCCGACTTAATGGAACATAACATTGTATGAGATTGCGAGCATTCATTTATTTATTAATCATGTTCTCTTTTTGAATTGTTAAAACAGAAATAAAATCTGTGAATCTGTATTGTCAAACAATTTTGAACATTTACATTTCTTGTTTGAACAAAAGTTGCAGTAAAACACTTGACAGATTGAAGGGAAGGGTACAACAAATCAGTTACTTGTTCATGGTGATCGTTGCATTTTCTACTCCATTTAAAAAATATCAAACAAGTAAATGATTTGAAGTGACCTTTGGAACACAGACTTAGTCTCATCCATCCAGTACTTGACAATCTCATATACGATGCACATGTCAACATGTTCATACAATGAAGCAATATTAAGACATAATTCTTCACAGTTAACGTCACAACTCTTTCAAACAAGTTATTTACATGGACAAACAATGTACATTTAATTATATAACCATACTGACAACAACTTGAAGCCATTTGTCCTGAACTGGTCTCTGACAAGTGCCATCATATTTCTGTCAGATGTTCATTCAAACACTTGGCTGTGCTATGTCATGGCAAATCACTCCAGACTAGAAATAAAGCTAGGATTAGTTGTACTGTGACCTGTACTAGTCTGTATGAAAGCATTACATCTTCATCCTATTCACACACACCAGGGCCTATATATACAATGAGAACAAAATTACTAATTAGGACAGCCTGACCTAAGCTGTGTCTACCATCCTTTCCTGTTTGTTGTTAAACGCTGCACTCAGCAATAGTCTAGCTACAGTGGAAGCCCTCTAAACCAGCATTCGTTGGGACCGGCAAAAAATGCCGGTATAGAGAACTTTTCCCTTTTCAACCTGAGAATGATCTTCTGTGTGCCATAAAATAGACTGTTGATAGTGTTGATAGTCATCATATTCTTTATCCATCAAAAGAGATAGACTGAATAGCTTTCTCTTTCAAAATAGGGCCAGAAATGGGCATGTTTTACAGTAGGCAGTCAAAAACCAATCATGCGTCAGTTTACTGTTTTCATTCATACGACAATTAATTTATAATACAAGAGACACATGCCACTCACCAATTTACCTCACCTACTTAGGTCTCATAAATTAACTAACTTCTGCCGAGACCAAATTCTAGTGCCGATATTGAGAGCATGTCGGATTGGAGGGCTGCCAATTTAGAGGGCTTCCACTGTATATGGCGGCGGTGTGCAAATAATTGAGTCTGGACCAGACAATCCAATGATCAACAGCATGAGCATCCATCTCCGCAATTGTCATAATCTAATAACCATCATACGCAAATGTATGAACATGGAAAACAATGGGGAGAATTAAACGTGGGTCAGTTTGTAGTACTGCTGCTTTCAACAAGATCCAAGTGATATCACGGTGTGTCAGCTTGATGTGGGAGTGAGTGAGTGAGTTTAGTTTTACACCGCACTCACCAATATTCCAGCTATATTGCGGCGGTCGGTATATAATCGAGTCTGGACCAGACAATCCAGTGATGAACAGCAGAGCATCAATCTGCACAATTGGGAACCGATGACATGTGTCAACCAAGCCAGCAAGGCTGACTGCCCGATCCCGTTGTCGCCTCTTACAACAAGCATGTGTTACCGAAGGTTCATTCTAACCCGGATCTTCACGGGTGCTTGATGTGGGAGAAAAGCCTGAAGTGATGCAAATCTTAAACATTTACCTCTTCAGCGAAATCCACAATCTCCGATATGGTGTTGACAAATCTAGAAATATAATCAGGACAAACCTTGATTTGAACCCATGGTAAAAAGATTTGACTCGACATCAAACTGTGGCACCTTAAAAAACGCTGATGTCACTTTACTCATTAAAAGTTAAATCTTTTACACGAAAACTGAAAACAATCTCATTAAAATCAGATCATTTATTCCAATTTGAAACCTCTTAGTGTGAAAACCTTGGGATACCTCTGCAGATCGTAGACCATGAGCAGATGCTGACTGCTCAATGCAGTTGAAGAGAGGTGTGGGTTCTTCAGCCAATCAGATATCAGCTTTATGAAATTATCTGGGTTCACTTTTCGTTTCTGATATTTCAATTTCAACAAACAAGACTCACACAGGTCACAAACATTCCTTCAAGAGTACTCCCTTTTATGCGTCCTTGGTCCATTTCCGAAAAGGATCACCATGGTAACATCCAAATGATGTAGCTCAGATACAATGTGTATACAATGTCCATGATAAATGAAGTGGCATTCATTATGTACCGGTTCTTTCGCGAAAGGTCACTGAAGGTTATTTTTGAGACCTGAATATTGGATATGCTGTTCTGAATTCTTTTTTCACTTGTGTTGAGAATTTCAAAGCCTCAACAATGATTGTGTTGATCAGGGAGTTGGTCTGATGTGACTTTCTGTAGGTGTGTCGATTGTCACACAAAGACTGTATCAGAATAAAATATCTGATTTAAATGAGTTTGAAATTGTCACAAAATTTGATTACAATTAAGATGGAAATTATTTTCACTGTCCATTTCATGGCATCGTAAGGGTTGGTCGGTTTATTGTTTAACGCCGTGCTCAGCAATATTCCAGCTATATGGCGGTGGTCTGTAAATAAGCAAGTCTAGACCGACAATCCAGTGATCAACATCATGAGCATCGACCGCCGCAATTGGGATACGATGACATGTCAACCAAGCCCAACCACCCGATCCCATTGGTCGACTCTTACCATCGTAATGGATTGGGTTCTCAGAAAGTATACTGGCAAAAACAACTTCTGCACAAAACACAATACTGGACTCAACATGGACACAGGACTACGGGACATTTTGTATATTCATCAAAAATAATCTGGTGTACTATTTACATCTCTGGACCTCTTCATAAATATCACCAAACACTGTACACTGTTTTCAGAATATGGAATTCTTCCGTGAAGTTAAAAAAGAAACAAACAGAAAACAGGACTGTACATGACCATGACGTCGTGCAACCATCAATGAAGATATATATCACAAGATGTGGCCCTCCTCAACCAAAACACACAATCTGCTAACTAACTTCTCCCCCCAACACAAACTCAGAAAACTTGATTAGTTTTAAAGACCAAAGACCAGTCCAATTTGTACCTTTCAGCCTGCATGATGGGATGCAAAAAGAATTATTTTTTTATTCACTTCTTATTTTTACAATCCAAAAATAAAACTTAATTTGTGATTATTTAACTAAAATTTGAATGTCACTATTTTTCAGAAATGACAGTTGATTATGAAAGTTTCATTTAGAGTTTAAAAAATCGGCATTATATAAATGCGCTAAAAGAATTAAAATATTTTTACGCCCAATCTAAAGTTACACCATAGATATACTAAACAAGTCAAAATAAGTGGTCTGGCCTTTTTGAAATAATCACATCGACATATTCAGTTTAATCTATTACCTGTGTTGATTTGTGAAATTATATTTAAGTTCCGTGACTGGTCATTTATTGTAAGCAGAGGGTGAAATTCCCTCCCTTCGTCCCCATCCCTATCATACGAACACACACACACACAAAAAAAATAGGGTGGGGTAGTCTTGTGGTTAAAGCATTCGCTTGTCAATTCCCCACACTGGTACAACGTGAATCCTGTTTCTAGCGTCCCTAGCCGGAGTATTGCAGGAATATTGCTAACAGCGGCGTAAAACCATTTTCACTCACTCACTCAAAAAACATGTACCATTTATCATTATAAGAAATGACCAGTCCTAAATAATGAATAATGTTCATTTCCACTCACTCACTCACAAAACACATGTACCATTTTTCATTACATCCCCCCTCCCCCCCATCCCCTACAATAAATGACCTGTCCCTAAATAATGTTCAAAATTTTAATAATTATATCAAAAACAAATACTGTCATTTCATCACAAACCCACTGCCTGAATCTTACAAGTGAACTACCCCTAAAATAAAGTCTTCCCAGTCCAGTCTTTCACTGTACATGGTTCAGTGGTCAAATTACAATTCCTAGCTAAAATATACAATACCATCTCCAAGCTATCATAGTTTCAATACGTCACTGCCTTCTGTGGAGACCTTCACTGTTGAATGGTTTTCCCTGAGGGCACTTTCAACACGGAAGACAAAACTGATTTGTGGATTTCACAGCTTTCTACATTGGATAAATGTTGAGCATGACCAAAGTAAGGTTATAGAGTTTCCAATTTTGATATTAAAGCTTCGTTGACTTGTTAACAGCAGTTGAATTTAACTTAAAACACGAATGACAAAAAAATTATTCACATTTTGATTAAAAATGATTTAAATACACATTATCACCTTTCATGCAAAAAAAATTTCAAAAGACAATCATCATGGTATTTTAAATGAAATGTTCATATACTTCATAAAAATATACATAAATGTGGCTTCATATTTCACACAATGTCTCTGCGCCATGTGGTCATACCACACACAAAAAAAATCAGATATAGTATTTGCCGGAAACAGCACCATTGGCACTAAAAGAATTGACAAAGGTTAAGGTCATTAATCCATTACTGAGTTATACTAGAGACGGCGCCGTAGTGAACAAACCTCGTCCACATGTTTTCAGTAATTAGGGCAGACCAATTTTATTTCTTGTTTTACGGATATGCCTGTCGTATTTTTTCAAGAATAACATAAAAAATAAAAATATTAATTTTTCACGCTAAATTTTTTTGCCTATTTTCCACGCTCCAAAAATGTAAACTTACAAGAAATATTTTTTAGATTGTTTTTTGCTCCAATGCTTCGAGTATTTAGAAGGATTATTACTTTGAATGGTGATTTTATTTTTATTTTTATCCCTCCTGCCTTTAGGTTTTCTGAGGACAAAAATCTGTTAAACAAGAAACAAAATTGGTCTGGCCTTATATAGCAAATTATAACCCTTGTGCTCTCAGCTTTCAGTACTATATATCCATAATAAAGACAAAAAAATATGGACAAACATGTAAAGTTTTGGTCTCAGATAGGGTGCTGTTAAAGCTTACTTATAGAAATATTTCTTCAGTGCTTACTGGAACAGGGCAGCTTTACATCAAATACAGTACATAAACAAGCCTGCAGAGTGAATGTTTGCAACTTTAAATATGTAACTAAAATATGGTTTCCTAGCCAGAGCAGTTTGTGCAGTACACATTTTTGCAAAAAAGCAAACACAATTGCCAACAAATTATTTTCTAATATCAAACAAGATGTGTAAGTGACAAGTTTGCATGCTCTCATATATATAATGTAGATATATAACTGGTATAACATGATATATACTTCATCAGTATTGAAAGTACATTGGGGAGCTATGTCATAATCATTTTGTGGTTATACTTTACAATCACAAATAATGTTACATCCAGTGAGCCATCAGCTGGAGCCATTAAGGCTAAGGCCATTAAAAATTCATTATCAGGCTGCTTTGAACTTGTTTTTAAAGAGCCAGGAATATATTTATTGATTTTTCTCAAATTAACCATATCATTCTTAAACAAGAGAATGTCCTGACATCATACAATATGGTTATCATAATTAACAAATGGTAGATGGTCTCAATACATATTTTGTAATTAATATCTGTTGCCTCACTGGAACACTAACCTTTGAAAACATTCATACTGATACTCGATCTGGCTCAAGTTTACAAACAAAACAAATATACTAAAGTGGTTCAGCATTTCCCGTGATCTCTACCAAAACGCTTCCAGTCTTAGTTTTAGAACCATTATACACCACCAAGATCTTGCTGTATATCTCTGTATACTGGACTTCACAGTAATAGATCTGAGATCTTTTAAAAATAAATTATCAAGCCGTTATTTGAAAATCTGGGGAAATATATTTCTTGTCCGAAGTTCCAACAAATAACTCCATTTTACGTAACACACCGACGGACTCATGTTGGAAGCAGGCTAATAGAGCTGTCCAAAGATCGCTGTCTCGTATCCCCGTCCTCATCTGTTGATAACAACATGTCCGACTCAAAGTCTTCAGCTTTTTCTATGCGGTTGTAGCAGCGTACTCGCTCTGATCCTTTGAAATATTTCACAGATGTTTCGTCACTGTTCACATACACATGCTTGGTGTTCTGAATGCTTTGCTTCAGAAAGTTGTCCACAATCCAGAAAATGAAAGCCTGAAAAAAAAAATATTAAAAAAATATTATTTTAATAGAGAAGAGAGTCACCATCTGTTAAATTAAAATGGGTTTTTTCAAATTTTTCCTTTCTTTCAGATGTTATTTATGTCACCATCTATCAAAACAACATGTGTTATTTTTTTTCATTTTTCCAGTTTTTTGGGGATGTTATTTATAGAAAAGAACATTACCATCTACCAAAACTACATGTTACATTTTTCATTTTTTTTCCTATGTTAAAACCACACTATGCGATATTCCAGGTATACGATGGCAGTCTGTAAATAATCAAGTCGCAACAACATAATCCAGTGACTGACATCATGAGCATCGATCTACATACTTAAACATAGATGACCCGTGAGGGTCCGGGTTAGAATGAACCTTCAGTAACCCATGCTTGTCGTAAGAGGCGACTAACGGGCTCGGGTGGTCAGGCTCGCGGACTTGGTTGACATATGTCATCGGTTCCCAATCACGCAGATCGATGCTCATGCTGTTGATCACTGGATTGTCTGGTCCAGACTCGATTATTTACAGACCGCCGCCATATAGCTGGAATATTGCTGAGTGCGGTGTAAAACTAAACTCACTCACTTAAAAAACAGATGACATGCAACTTACAAGTTAGATACAGTGATCAACAAATCCTGTTAGAAACTTCTTGCGACAAGTATAGGTTTGTTAAAGAGCTACTTTCTCCCAGAACTCATACTGTCACGTGTGCTACTTACGTTGACTACTAGCGGCACCAAGAACATGACCAGCACCAGCTCCAGTGTTGGGTTTTTAATTGGAGACATAATGAAAGCCCTTACCTGGAAGCAAGGGCAACATATTGTAAACAGTCAAACTAGTGAGAAAGACAAGATATTGAAGTTTGCAGACAATTAATTCAATTAATGTATGTTTTCCATTATGAATTTGTTTATAAAAAATTAACCTTCAGCAAACATGCAATATAATCAGTCAGTTATAGCTATTTTACGAAGAATTGGTATTTCATGGGTAATTCCTACACTTTGAAAAATTGTAAAAGATATTAAGTTCATACAATTCAAAAACCAACAATTTTCATCAATATATTTCGATAACCTTTAGTGTAAATATAAACTTTCATTTGGAAAAAATAGAGAAGAATGGCCAAAAATTTTTTAATCCTTTAAAGAAAGCACAGTAGTTGATTTCAATAGGAAATATTCAAACCAGTGAAATACAGGCTGCATCAGAGGCTGTCAGCTAAATGAGTGCATTTGTTTGTTTGTTGTTCAATGTCGCACTCAGCAATATTTCAGATATGTATATACAATCTAGTCTGTTATAGAATATAACCAGTCTTGCTGGTAGGCTACAGATTAAAGAAAATTGTGCAATTTGTTTTGAATGTGAATAATTGAGTTTGTGAAGCAGTTAGTTCACGATCTCAAGTATTTCCCTGTTCTCTAAGAATGAGAACTTGTGCCAGTATTTTATTGGGATATAAATGTACTGAAGCAAGAACAAAGGCCATGGCCTTGCCTCACTATTCACCATGACCTGTGACAGTCTGTATATACCCTTATAAAGTACTAGCATGAGTCCGCAAGCTATTACTAAGGTACATAACTCTGCACAGGAAACTGTCCTGCCTTAGACACTACGCTGGAGCACCTGAAGTCTACTCGCTTGAATATGTATTTTAGAATCATTTCAACTATGTTACAGACTTAGTTATGGACTAGTATCATCCTACAAGCCATGATGACATTTTACTAGACTTGGCTGCGATTTCTCGAAACAAACTTAAGTTTTAACTCAAATTTCAAATTGAGTTTGACAATTGGAAACAGCTGAATTTCTAACTCAACTGCATTCCTAAAATCAAAAGTGTGTGACTTTCAGCAATATTCCACCAAAATCAGAGCACACAAGAAATGGGTTTAAAAAATTATACCCATATGAGAAACAAGAGAAACCTTTTCGCATGACAAACAAATTTTACCCCATGGTACCACCCCACACATTAGAAAGTCAACACCAGCAACCATTCTCATTTTGAAATGGCTCAAAGACTTTATCACAGAATGAGATGTAGCATTAACAGCAACTCACTTGTGTCCAGAACTTGAAGAGAACGAGCAGTGTGACGAGGATCTTCTCCACAATCATCACCAGGATGTAGAGGCCACACTGCCCCACCCACGCATTGCATTGGGGAGGATCGCCTGTAATACAACATCCAGGAACTACAGTAGAACCAACAAGCTACCAGGAAGTAGGCATATGCTGTCCTAAGGCTATTACAAACTATCGGTTTCTATACATCACCTTACACATGTAATCAGCAACAATGAACACTGGCTGGTCAGAAAATGGAATGATTCTGAATTACATGTAGTTCAATTTACACAAATTAAAAATGAAAATATAGACAATACAAAACAAATATATGGATAACAACTTCTTTATTTGATTCTCAAGACGCTCTTGGTCTAGTTCTTGCTCCTTCTTTAGGTGGGTGATATATAAATATAGATAAAAATACAGATATATATATAAAAATTAAAATCCAACACATAGGATATGTTTCTATCTGATTTAGAGATGGGTCTTTCTTTAACTTGTTCTTGAAATATTAGCAACCTTTGCACTCCAAACAACAGGGTCAATTTTCACAAAGCGATCTTACCAGCTCTCTTAAATGCAAGTGGGCCCAAATCCTTACAGCAAAGGGACACAACTCTGATGGCGAATATGCCTGTCATCAAGTGATGTGTTTCCTTTGAATATATTGATGACTGACTGAGTTTGGTTTTACACCGCTTTTAGCAACATCACGGCAGGGGACACCAGAAATGGGCTTCACACATTGTACCCATGTGGGGATTCGAACCTGGGTTTTCGGCGTGACGAGCCAACGCTTTAACCACTAGGCTACCCCACCGCCCCCCAAAAATATATTGATGAGGAATTTGACATTAATCTAGATATTTATTTTTTTTTATAACAGTAGCATCTACAAGACAGTAGACAGCAGAAGTAGTCCAATAATCTTACCATACTCCCCAAAGTATAATGTGGCCAGCTTGTTTCTCCTGACAATTATCTGGGTGAGTTTCAAGCCTAAATAGATGATGAGGATCCCAACTGTTGAATCCAGAAGAAAACTGATAAAATACCTGCAAGAAAACAGATTATATTGAAAGTTATTTAAACCATAGCAATGTTTATTCCCAAATTTTATTTTGATTGTAAACAAGACTTGAAGTTAACATGTTTCATAGCATCCTAACCTTCATAAAGCCAACCTGTCATTGGGTAACAACTACTTGATTCTTTATAACAACATCTCAGGGCTGTAGATAAAATGTCAAATTTCAAGCTCCTTCTTGTTTCCCAAACCTGAAATGCCATCTACATGCATATGTGTTTTGACTTTACTGCACAGAACTTTGAATTTGATAACGTATGATAGTGCAATTTATACAAAAGTGAGTGAGTGAGTGAGTTCAGTTTTACGCCGCTTTTAACAATATTCCAGCTATATCACGGCAGGGGGACACCAGAAATGGGCTTCACACATTGTACCCATGTGGGGAATTGAACCCGGGTCTTCGGCGTGACGAGTGAACGCTTTAACCACTAGGCTACCCCACCGCCTTTTATACAAAACTGACATTGAGCTCCTTCCTTGTTTCGGCTCCTTAATGTCAAAGGTAGTGTAACAAGTGCTTACTTCTGCCATCTTTCAGTATGACATGGATCAAACTACCACCTTTCCTGTCACTCTCTCTGCTCAAATGCTCAATCCACTATAGCATGGAAACGAAGTTAGTTTGGAAATCCTACATTTAACATTGGACCAGCCTATAAAATTTTGGATCTTCATATATACTTCATGTTTTCAATAGTCCACAAAGTTATTAATGTTACAGACAGTCTATCTACATCAATGATGAAAGTGGCACAGCAGGAAACATCTCTTGTCATTTTGAAATTCTACAACAAGCAGACATATTTTAATTTCAAATCCAACAACAGTAGGGATAGGGTTTGAAGGTCGGGATGAGGACATCCTCGATAATCTCGAGGGTATACGTTCCGATAAATCTCCACTATATCCTGGATGCATCTACAGTTCGAGTCGATTTTTTTACCTCCCTTTGCTGGCTCCGCATTCTCACAGTAGCCAATCAGATAAGCCGCCATTACAACCAAGCTTGCCAGTGTCAACAAAGATAGCGGTCGCAGACGCGAAAGTTTGTTCGCAGTGCGACTCAGATTTGGGGGGAAAACATACAGACAAATTGACAGGTGTGAAACCTTAAAGTAATATATGCAAGAACTCCTTCTTCCTCTTTCAGAGTACCTCTGCAACAATATATCATTGTGTTGCCAAGTTTAATTGGTCAGATAATTTAAAAAGTGAAAGTGAGTTGTGATTGGTACTCTCAACTTCCCAGCGTAGACACCTGCTTGGATAAAAAGCTAACCAAGGGAGGTAATAAAATCATCGGCTCAAGCTGTAGATGCATCCAGGGTACAGTGGAGATTTATCTGAACGTATACCCTGGAGATAATCGAGGATGGGATGGGGATTGATGGAAGGATTACTAGTGAGGATTGGGGTGGGGAGTGGATTTGGGCTGGGGACTGAGGGAAGGGGTGGGGATTGAGGGTATAGGTGGTGATTAGTGCTGGGGGTAAGAGTTGAGGGCAGGGATGGGCAGTGGATTGGGGCTGGGGTCTGAGGGCTGGGGTGGGGATTGAGGGTATAGGTGGTGATTGGTGGCAGGGGTAAGAGTTGTGGGCAGGGATGGGCAGTGGATTCGGGCGAGGGATGGGGGTCAGTGGGAATGAAGCTGCTGCCATTGCCTAATGTAATTCTAATATAACAATCATTCATTTAGATACTTTCACTGGCAACTGTACAATCCAGGCTAAACAATGACAAAGGAGTTGAACTGAAAGATAAGTACCATGTACACGGGTCATCCTGGAACATATCTGCTAGGAAGACGTTTGCAAAGTGGAGAACAGCTGCACCAAATCCTTGCTTGGAGGTGTCATAAAACCTGCAAATAGAAGAAAGAATTACATAGAAGAATGAAACAACAATCCAAACAAATATCACAACTACTGCCTGTTTAGGCATGTAATAAAACACACTGTATTTGTACCAGGTGAGGTGAAATTGGGTTGAACATCGTGCTTGAGAATATTTTGCACATATGACGACGTGCATGCGTGTGTATGTGTATGTGTGGCTGCGTGTACTAGCCCAGACTGAAGCTGGTTTTATAGTGCTAGCCCACTGAGATACCACGCCACAGTGAAGAATGAATACCCCACTCAGACACATTATACTGACTCCGAGCCGACCAGTCCTTTTTGTACCCATTAATGCCGAGCGCCAGGCAGGGACCAACAAGTACCATATTTTAACGTGTTTTGGTATGACGCAGTCAGGGATCAAACCTGCGACTTTCCGCTCTCCGGGCGGACGCTCTAACCAGTACACCACAGAAGCGGTTGTATTTGTACCAGACTCTGCCTCATGATCAAAGTGTCACCTTCTACCTAAGATTTGTTTGATGTTGAACAAAAAAACAGGAGTATTACAACAATATAACTGTGATCTGTAAATAATGGAGGATAAGTCTGACCAGTGATTAACATTAAGAGCACCAATCTGGCAATGTTTGGTCCGCTTTACTTCTACCTTAGATTTCCGTGTTGTTAGTAACACAGGATTATCATAACTACAGGGCTCCGATGTAGGTAAATGGAGGATAAGCCTCACCTGTGATTAACATTAAGAGCACCAATCTCTGCAGTTGTTATCTGATGACACAATGAAGACAAGAGGATTGAAATTGGCCAGTGGGATTTGTTTTAGGACCGCATCATACTTTGATTATGTAACATTGTGTCATCACCCTTCCAAAATCCAACCCGTGAAGGTCCAGGTTAGAATGGATCTTCAGTAACCCATGCTTGTCGAAAGAGGCGACTAATGGGATCGTGTGGTCAGGCTTGCTGACTTTGTTGACATGTCATCAGTTCCCAATTCTGCAGATCGATGCTCATGCTGTTGATCACTGGATTGTCTGGTCCAGACTCGATTATTTACAGACCGCCGCCATATAGCTGGAATATTGCTGAGTGCGGCGTAAAACTAAACTCACTCACTCACTCCAAACTCCATGTAATCATTACAACACAATTCAAACTAAATCTGATCAAAAAGACCTTACCATATCCTCCAAGGCCGCCTTGCATGCTTTGGTTCGCAGTAACGCTTGGCTGAAAACAAAAATCATTTATCATTTCAAACTGTCAAGAATTTTGAACAGCTTATGTACTTATAGTAGAGCTTCATACTTATTTAGGGGTGTGAAGCCCATTTCTGGTGTTGATCCGCCGTGATATTGCTAAAAGCGACGTAAAAGTACACTCACTCACTCACACTGACTTAAATATATACCAGTACTTAACAGAATGCCATATGAATCTATATATATACTGAAACTGTTACATGAGAATAATGACTGGCTTGGTAACTAGTGGTGGTCCGATTAATTGAAATAATCGAAGATTGGTCGCAGTTACTAAACGATCAAGCAATCGATCATGTTTTCTCATAATCAAACACAAACAATTCTGGAACACTTTTTGCATTAACAATATTTTTCACAAGGTTGGTTTTGTAAGTTACATTTCATAACCACTACAAGCTTGTTCCAAGTCATGATTGAATTTATCTTAAAGACTCAAGGAATTTTATGTTCCTAACATACTAGTTAAGTAGTAATCCTTTCAAGATGTGAAATTTGCCACACAAAAAAACCCCAAAGAACTACATGTTTTTTCATTATGTTTTTTTTTTCATTAACAAAAAAAAACAGGAAAATTTAATAAATGACGCTAACCAATTATTTTCGATGATTGATCGGTTGTAATGAAGCAGTCATCAATTATGTGGTTTTAACCAATTCTCAACACTACTGGTAACGCAAATAAACAGCCAAGTTCATATTGTCTAGATATTGTCGCGATAGGGTTAACGCGATATCTGAAGTGTTGATATTTCATTGACAATCATCAATGAATAACTACACTCAACAATAATCAGAATCTTAAAGCAAAGTAGACGAAATGTTTCTGGATGTCATCTTCTTCATGGTGACAGTTTCATATCGATCGTTATATACCTTTAAACAAGACTATTATACTGTAATGACGTTTCCGAAAAATCCTTATTCAGTTGTGAAACAAGACATTTATTATTTGGTGTAGAACCTTCTACAAGCAGTGCCACTGGATAACTTTTTTGTGTGTTTTTGATAGTGCTGGTTATGTCAGAATATGCAGATCGATAACCAGAGCTCAGTAATCGACCAATAATCGATTGTAATTGTAAAACCCACTACAAAATACATGTGGGCAATAAAGGGACACAGTCATAACACTGGAAAAAACAAAACAGGAACCGATTAATACCATGATCAAGACAATTAAGGGTACTTCCTGCTCGCGAGTAGGTGGTTTACATTGCAGTTTTATGAGTCAGGAAACTGGATCAGTTGTTTATGTCTTGATATAACAAACATAACAATAAAAAATATATTTTCGAAAGTTTAACTTGGTCTTTTGGGGTTTTTTTTATGAACATCGATTAGTCTCCTGAGCCTATTGATAATGACAGTGTATAAAACATAGCCCGTCCCTTGACAGGCCATATTTCAAAACTATTTTATACACTGATAATGACACAAGCAAGATCCAGCACTAGTATTTGACAGTGTTTACGGGTCAGCATGTCGTAACGACCTGCTGATTTCTATACATCGTACAACATGTTCAGTGGTTGTAATGAATATTGACTGATCGATTTGCTACCTCTCACACGATTCAATCTGCCTATATCAGTGTTGATCTCTTTGAAGCAGACAAAGACATGTTTCGTGCTTGTATGTAAACATTTACCATGTGACACCAAAATGCAATTTGATTGGCCGTGCCACATCCAACTTGCTGAATAACTAGCACAGGCTCTACACTCACATCATAATCGACGCTGGTACGAACGGCCGATTTGTACCATTTGCTGAATATGATTAATCACTCTGACGATACAACTCAGACGAATTTGGCATATTGATTTGACAGGCCGACTCGTGTGACTCCACCTTAAGACATGTCTAAATTTTTAAGCAATTAACAACTCATCCTAGTATCTTGATTAAGAATGTTCAGCTACAAATCAAACAATCACTAAATTTTCAGACACTCTACGATGCTTGCAGAACACTAAGTGTTGTCTGTGCAAATTCCTGATCTGTATTCAATGAATATTTACAGAACATTAGTAACATGAACTGCTGACTTCATGAATCTATTTATATTCAAACTGTTATGCAAATACAGCTACACCTGGATAGCACACTCATCAAAACGACTGCATAATATACTTAGCAATTGGCAACTATGGCTACTTGTATTGTAAACAGGTAGCAGATGGCCTCATTAATATTATTAATATTTTTCATAATTAATATGATTAAGTGACTATTCAAAGCTCAAAACACTAACAGTAGAGCTACAAAAAAGAGATTCAGATGTGTTTGACATTATTCTCATGTTTAAGCATCAGTACTAACAAAACAATTGTCAATTCAGTCAGGTGAAAGCTAAACTCAGATACATATATTAACTAGCAAATAAATATAGAAACACATATATGAACAAATAATCCATGACAACATATTGATCTATGATTATTAATATTATCATTGCAGACATTTGATATTCAGATATATATACAACATGGAGCCAGTCTATATACACATTTTAATTAAGGCCCCATTGTTGTAGTGTGGAACATTCGCACGTTTTGCTCGGAAAAGAAATGCCAGCACAGATTGGAAGCAAACATACTGGTAATAATCCTGTGAACAACTGACGCAAGGATATGGACAGATATCAAATAATGTGTTCTCCATATGCTGGTCACGATAAGTGTATTGATAGACAGTATAACAACACAAGCTCCATGTATTTTCGACATGTGAAATTATGGTGACAAGCCATTTCTTCCTAGTGAACCCCCCATCAAAATTAACAGGGAATGAACACTGATTTGTAGGTTTGTCAGCTGCTTTTCATCATGAATAAAATACCATCATGAATAAAATACCATGTTGTAAAGTATTGTTACTTGTACAAGCGACTAGCCAAGTGACGGTTACTAGTACTTATTACGTGACTGCCTGTCCCTGGATAACGGACTTCAGCATGCAGCACAAAAATGTGGCTAAAGGAGTTACTTATTAAAATAATAAAATAAATGATAGTAATACCACTTATAAAAGGACATCGAAGGAAACGAAAGAGAGAGAAAAAAAACAATATCCATTTCTACATCCCTGATAGACCAGGTCCAAAAAGCATATACATTCGTTCTAAACATAAGGCTACTATTTGTTGTCGTTTTTCTAGTGTCAAACTGTAAATGATGCTTATTCCCTAGCCACTAGAAGCATTTCATACAAAATGTTTCATCCTACTATGTACTGCGAGTAAGAGAGGATGCAAAAGAACATTGCTGTTTATATAAAAGAAACTCATCGGTTGATGGTGGCATGCATGATGGACAGTATGCCATGGATATTTTCATAACAACCACAATCAACATGATCATAGTTTACATACACTTTCCATTTCACATTTTCTTCACACAGTTATCAGGACAATATATATATGAGCATGTCTCCAGGTGCATCTAACCCGTGAAGGTCCGGGTTAGAACTGATCTTCAGTAACCCATGCTTGTCGCGAGAGGCGACTAGTCAGGCTCGCTGACTGGGTTGACACATGTCATTGTATCCCAATTGCATAGATCGATGTTCATGCTGTTGATCCCTGGATTGTCTGGTCCAGACTCGATTATTTCGAGACCGCCGCCATATAGCTGGAATATTGCTGAGTGTGGCGTAAACTAAACTCACTCACTCACTCAGGTGCATCTGCAGTATGTATATAAAAGATAGAATCGAGATATTTGTGTTTGTCAAAACTCCTTTATGTACTCAAGATCTTTCTTAAGGTGTAATGAGGTTAATGTTTTCATTACACCTGAAGAGCCATTGAATGGCAAAAGATCTTGTATACATAACAGAGTTTTGACAAAATCGGATATCTGGACTCTATCTTTTATTTTTATACATATACACATGTCACACACTTACACACACATGCACGCACACACACACATTCATGTATACAAGGAAATCCCCATCTTATCCTAAGGCTACACAAATACAATCCGAATCAAAGCGTAATAATAGTACATATTTGTGATATTGTTAGTGATAAAGTCAGATGTTCGACAATCCTTTCACCATATTCACCCAGTTGCTCAAAATTCAATGTTCTCCTTGACCAAAATGTCTACTTCAAAACAGATATTCACCAACTGAGACTGTACAACACAAACAAGTGTTATAGATGTCTTTTAGTGGCATTTAGAAGTTGTAAGTAGATGTCCAAGATATTTTTATGGATTCAACTTCTGTTTTATTTCCCTCACAACGTTTCATAGTCTCAACTGTCAGTTCACCTGATGAAAGGACCAGGAATGGTCCCAAAACGTTGTGAGGGGAATAAAAAAGAAGTTTAATCCATTAAAATATCTTGGACAAATATTATAGAGATACTTTTTCTGGACATTCTGTATCTGGGTATCATCAATAGGTACCAGGGTTGAATTTGAAAAAACAAAATTGTCCAGTGTTGTGTGTTATTTGTTGTACCTAGCTTGACCCTAGCATCTTTCTTTTGGTAATGGTACCCATCGGTTTCTTGCTGCTAGTTTCACAACAATTCCTGTTCAGTCCACATCTCATGAACTGGTAGTCAGTCATAATGAACTGGGTCAAATCATTAATATGGGCCGAACAGGAATAGATGTGAAACTACTGGTAAGACCTGTATAGAAAAAGAAAGGAGTTTGGTACATAAGATATAGCAATATAACTCCAGGAACAAGTTGATGTATCTCACTGTAAGTTAGTACTAGTGGATACAACAAATTATATCCGATGTATATATGGAAGGTACACAAGTTGAGCACAACACTAGTATTATTGAATGTTTTAGCGAGGAAAGTGATTCATGTGTAATGAAGTACATACTTAGTACCATAATGACTGAGACAGTGGTGACGATCCTTAGGGTTAAGGTATGCCACCCTTTACGATCCTTAGGGTTAGGGTTTAGGGTAAGCGTATGCCACCCTTTACGATCCTTAGGGTTAGGGTTAGGGAACCCCAGCAGCGCTAATTAATCTGAAAAAGTGCGCCCGGTAAAGTGCAGTACTCCCCAGAGGTGTATTTTTCTGCATGTTTCGCATTCCAAACATTACGATCGCAACTTCATACCTACCAATCAAACACGAGAACGCCAGGAGGGCCAACAACCCCTGAACAAGGAGTCCTACCGGTCCAAGCAAATCCCCAGATGAACAATGAAGGATATTTTGGCTCGGGAATTTCGGTTCAGACTCTGGATCAGATGATACGTTCACATCATATACATGTTTGTGAGCTGCCGGGTCCGACTCGAGCGACGTCAGCGACATGCTTAAAGCACTTGCTCGTGTGTCAATTTGTCCGGCTGTCAAACTGTCCATCAACCCCATCGCAGTTTCTCCATTGCCTATAGAAACACCTCTTGGAGACGCACACAGCCGTTTGGGTGATTAATGTAATAATACCATCAATTCAACCTCATTTTCGTCTTACTTAACAACGATCTATATCATTTTTGTGAACAAAACACGTTCACAGTTTCTTGACAGCAGACAAACCGGATGTGTTCTACACTTCCGGTGACAATAATGCTACTTCCCTTCGACAAATCACATATCAGTAATCGTATCCGAGCGAAGCTGTCTTTATATCAATATCGCCTAGCAACAATAAATATAATTTTTATTTTGAAAATTATATATTTCAAAAGTTATACTTATTTCAATTTAACAAACAATGCAAAACGTTCCTTGTAAATATTTCAACCATGACTGAAGTTCTCATTTCGTGATTCAGGTCAGCTCGCATATGCTTGGTTGTTGCAATCTACAGGCAAAAGATTATTGTTACGTCACAACCAATCGATTTTGACGTTTGATCATCACGTTGACGTAACTTCGAAAGTTTTACCCTTTACCCTCTCCATAAACGCAAAAATGTAGAACAATACCTTATAACAGGTTTATAAAAAGGGTGGGTGCAAGGGTGGGCCAGTCATTTAAATCTTACAGATTTGCTTACAGAGTTGTTCCCCTTATGCGTACCAGACACCGAATGATATAATCTGCCTAATTATATTTCCCGGTATGATGGCCTTTTATCTTTGAGTCAACTTATTAAGACCTGCGTTATTTCGTGATTTCCCACACGTTAAAAACACACGCCGTGATACTAATCGAAAAATTAACTTACCAGTCTGTGAAAGAATATTCTAGTGACGACTGTTTAAAACCTAATTCACCCAGTCTGTGAAAATATATTCTCGTGACGACTGTCTAAAATGTCTAAACATGTGAGTGAGTGAGTTTAGTTTTTACGTCGATTTTAGCAATATTCCAGCAATATCACGGCGGGGGACACCAGAAATGGGCTTCACACATTGAACCCATGTGGGGAATCGAACCCGGGTCTTCGACGTGACAAACAAACGCTTTAACCATTATATTTGAGTGCTATATATGAGTGAACAGTGGATTCCTCATGTTTTTCTATGCATAAAGACAGGTAATAATAATCGTGAAATACTAGAAGTGCTGAAGGCGTATACTTGAAAAAATACTCTGACCAACTTTATCAAAACGTTGCTATGCTTTAAACTGTCGCGGAAACATTGCATACTGAAGGTTCCCTAACCCAGCTATGCTCGGCGTCTTAAAGGTCGCATACAACCGAAAAATCAAACATAATTAAAACACAATTATCACTTATTCATGACATATAATATACATTGCTGATTATGAAAAAACATATAAACAAAATTATAAGCGTACAATCGCAAATCAAAAGTGCAATATTTTGTACTTCGGTTTACTTCCCTCGAAACGAAGCACCCGGGATACCGAACCCAGTCAGAGCGGGTGGGTGTGCACTCAAGTGTAACGAAAACTTTCATTGGCTGGTTCATTAGTAGATGCCCTCACGACTCATTGTGTGTGTGTATATAGAGATGTTTGTTTTTGTAAATACATGCTCATTTTTTGTGTATAACATTTTGCAATCAACAGACATCATAACATGTCATGTGTACAAGTATCAACCTGCCTGTCTGTGTAATTACATAATGTGACAGAGACAGAACTCTGATGCAAGAGCCAGAAATCAATGCGTTTGTTTATTGTGTATAGCCTGAGAGGTGTTCAAATTGCATGTGGTCAGTGATCGAAGTTGTGTATTGCATATTGTCATTAGCAGGCAGGCAGGCAGACACATAGGTGTCAATAAAACAGACATTGAGTTTTGTGTGTGACAAGGACATATCTATATCACAGTTAGAAAATCTGTCAATGCTAAATAATGACATTGCTTTTGAGTATCGAACTGCGTGACTCGTTAAGAAGAACGTGTGGTGAAATAGACAAATGAAATTATATAAACAGTAAAATCGGTAATCTTTTGTCATAACATATAAAACGTTCGCGCCTGTGAAATATCATATCAACCAAACATTAGAAAAAAAATAGCTCACATCAAAGCCTTCACCGAGTACTCGCCGCCAGCGAAGGTTTTCCGTCTTGAAATGTCGAACGCCTCACTGGTTGACACACAGCTGAGTAGATCTAGATCCTAACAAGGTACTTTTATGTAACGAGTAGATTATTTACTTATTGTTTTGATTAGGCTACTCCTGCTCACGACCTTATAATCCGGACATCCCGCTTCCAGGCTGCGCAAACCTATTCACTGCGCATGCGCTATGAGCGCAACACAGCTGTTGAAACCACTTTTCACCCCAAGCTGGGGTGAATTTAGTGAATCGTTTGAACTCCGATTTCGTGGGTTTTTTTTCATCGCGTTATTTTTCAACTTTATAAGTTGAATTTGCATTTCTGATATTTGTTTCGGTAAGTCCATACCGAAAGGTATCAGAATCTGCAAAGTTGTGCCTTACGTTGCATGTGACCTTTAAATATATCTCCACCGACCAGCCATTTCCTGTATGTTTGATTAGAAGCCAGCTTTAAACATGGGTGTATCCTTTCTTTAGCTCCACAGTTTACACAAATAACTCAAACAACAACGTTATTTCATGCAGTACCGATGCCAATACACCACCCCAAAGCTTCTGTTTTGTTGTAAAATCGTCCGTGGATCATAATTTTCATTAAGCATTAAAACAAAAAACATTCATGGTCCTAGATTTTCGAAGCTCTCTTAGAGCTAAGAGTGTGTGAGTTTTTTAGCAATATTCCAGCAATAGCATTTGGCTTCACACAATGTACCCATATAGGGAATCGAACCCGGATCTTCGGCGTGACGAGCGAACGCTTTAACCACTAGGCTATCCCACTGACCCCTTAGAGCTAAGATAGTCGTAAGTTAATGTTAATGTATGGTGGCACTGGCGACCATCTTAACGCTAGGAGAGCTTCGAAAATCTAGGTCCATGGTTTTTCACGACAAACGACAAAGCCTTAATTCTTACTGTGCTAAATCACCAATAAGTGAAATAGTCAACTTGTACCGACATACCTATATATAGCCTTCCAAAGCATCTATTTTCCTCAAGTTGTTAAACCGTTCGAGGATCAACATTTTCATTATACATTAAAGAAAAAAGTTCATGCATCTTTCCTCACGACAAAAGACACAGATTTAATTCTTCTGTCCTAATTATTTAAATCCCAAATCATTGAATTAGCCAACCTGTACCGATCTAATTTATACAAACCATCCCAAAGCTTCTATTTTCCTCAAGTTGTTAAATTGTTCGTAGAGCATAATTTACATTATATTCATGTTTTTTCACGACAAATGACAAAGATTTAATTATTACTGTCCTAAATCCAAAATCTTTGAAATAGCCAGCTCAGTTACAGTGTTTCATTGTCCTTGCAACTTGCAAATAACTCCATTATCTCCTATGCTACACTAATCCGGTTTCATTTCAAATCCCCGAAATGCAGCTGGGTTCTCACAGGTCAAATAGAGAGATTGTTCTATTTAAAACTGCAGTAAATATGTCCATATTTGTTTAGACCGCTTAAGGAAGAACGAAAATCATTACGTATATGTTTTAATGCATTTAGCACCTAAATAAAACAATGCCTGCATGGTATACTTGCCTGATATAGGAGCTGACATTAAAGTTTACATAACTTTTATAGGAGTTGGTAACCTGTCCATGTTCCCCAAGGACGGGCTGTGTCGGATTATGGCCCTTATAGGTGTACCAGGATCCGAAATGAAAATACCACTGTTATAACGAACTCAGAGGAGCCACAAATTCGAGTTCGTTATAACCGTAGTTCGATATATTCATTTTAAGTCAAATATACAGCAAGTGGCCGGGACCCAAAAAAACAGTTCGTTATATCTGTCTGTTCGTCATAAGCGTGTTCGTTGTAAACGTAGGTTACTGTACTTTAAGTGCCTAAAGTATTTATGCGTTTTATATCCTGTTTCGTTTAAAGATTCCTCTTTTAGATGTAACCTTGGTCAACCACATTCACATGCCGCTCGTTTTCCTGAGTTTTAAGCGATTTAATCGTAAGAAAGTGATTGTGGTACGCGTTTGTGGCTTCTGGTTGATCATATGAGTGTATGTTGCGTTAATTTATTGTAGGCATGGTTTACGATAATGGATGTATTAGCCAATTATATATTTGGCCCGCCTTGGCCCGGCCCGGCCCGACTTTTAGGCCATCCCTTACTGTCACACTACTGATGAGGCCAACGGGAAAAAACGGTTTAAAGATCCAGGGAGCCGTTGTACAGAATAACCTTAGCGCTAAGGCTACCTTAAGTCTATGTTAAGGTATGGAAGTTACGGTCACCTTAGCGTTAAGAGAATTGGTCCTCAGCATCCCAAGCATCCTCTATCGGTGATGAATACCATGTAATTTTAGAATGTCCCTATTTTGTTGATTCCTGAAACCAATTTATAACACCTTACTTTTACAGAAGACCAGTTGTTTCAAAATGAAAAAGTTGGTCAACTAGAAAAACTTTTTATTTTTGTAGCACTGTCATGTCCAGGTAAAGTCACTGGGAAAGTGAATTATAAAGTCACTTTTTTCTATAAAATTTATGTGAAAATCGAGATGTAAGTCCTCTGTGTAAAAGAAAGTATAATGTACTACTATGTATTATTTGTAGCTTATATACCTTAAACTCACACTACCAGCCCTGTCACCAAAATGTACACATTTGTATAATCACTGTGATCTTCATATGCCGTTGTCTTACGGCCTGAAAAGCAATAAAGTTCTGTTCTGTCGTGAGAGGCGAGTAACGGGATCGGGCGGTCATATCCGGTGATGGATCATGCATGTCATCTTATCACAGTTCTAGACTCGGCCGGGGTCACAGAACAGGAATATTGCTGATTGGGGCGTGGCGTTTTGTTTGTTGTTTAACGCCGCACTCAGCAATAGTCCAATCAAGTCTCTAAATGATCGAGTCTGGACCAGACAGTCCAGTGATCAACAGCATTAGCATCGATCTTGGGATACAATGACATCTCAACCAAGTCAGCAAGCCTGACCACCCGATCCCGTTAGTCGCCTCTTACGACAAACATGGGTTGCTGAAGACCAATTCTACCCCGGATCTTCACGGTTTTAGTAT